ATTTCTCCACAGTTCATTGCTCCCAGGCACATGGTTTACACGCAGCACAATGAGCTGGGTCAGAGCAGCCTCAGCTGACAGGGGGCCCCAGAGGTCATCCTGCCAGCCTGGGGCTGCTTTGATCAGGTTCAATTTGCTGCAAGGGGCTGGCTGGGGCACAAGAGTGTTTCAGCACTAGGATAGCTGGCAGGGAGCCCTGCACTGAAGTAAGCTTGCGTTCCAGCCAGCTGGCTCAGCATCTACACATGAGCTGCTCCACATGAAATAACTCCACAGCGTGTCAGTACTTGTATTTATGAGTATTACGCTGCTGAGAAGTTTATTAGTTTTATGTGCTCTAATAGGGTCATGAGACATTTACTGCACAGTCAATTATTCAATTGAGCAGTAAAGATCTCGTGCAGATGCACCCACTGGGCACGTCTACACATGTGCTTTAATGCACAGTAACCTATTCTACTGTGCATTAAAGGAGTGCGTAAAAACCATGCTAATATGTTAATGTCCAATAGAATAGACTACTGTGCATTCAGCGTCACCTAAAAAGCATGCGCTTGCGAAACTGTGCATTAGTGCAGCCTAATGAACATTTATTTAGTACCTGACATTTAAGGTACAAAATTTAATCCGCATTAGTTAAAGTGCATTAATGCATATGTAGACATACCCACTAGGTGTGTCTACATGTGCATATCTAATGTGCATTAGCCCAATTTAAGGCATATTAAGGGCATGTTTCTATGTGTGCACCCCTTAAAGCGCCTTAAAATGGCAATTTAAGGTTATTTAAGCCTACATTTGATACCTGCACATTTGATACAAGAGCAGGTATTAAATTTATGTACGAATAGCTAAATCACATTAGCGGACAAGTAGATACACTAATGCGCATTAACACCGTGTGTGTCTATTGACTTAGGACTAACTTTAGTCCCAAGTCGATCCTCACACTCGCATTAATAGGCATTAGCACATGCACGTGTAGACCTGCACCTAAATTGCTTTAATGCACATTAGGCTAATGCAAATAAGTTTAAACAAGTATAAAAGCACGTGTAGACACCCACTGGGTGATCACACCCAATAGGCAATGTAGCAATCACATGGGTCTACACATGATCACTGGCTATGTCATCATAGTGGTGTGCTGCCTGGGTATAGTGCACTACTATGGCAATGTAGTCGCTGAATCTAACTGCACTGCCCGTACATCACAGGGTGGGTAGCTACTGCACCATGTTTTAGTACTTTCCCCAAGTAAGTACTAAAATAGGGTGCACCACTAATGTCGCTGCATGGTGGCATGTAGATATGCCCACTGAATCCTAAAGGGGCTACTTTAACAGAAAAGTACAACACAAAAAAATGATTGAAAAGTAAAACCATACCAATTCATACTAAAAACAAGGCATAACCATTGGAGTAAACTACCACCAAATTGGCAGATTTCTCATATGGTGATGTCTTCAAAACAAAACTATGTCTCTTTCTGGAGGTATATTTTAGTAAAAAAAATAAGTTATTTGGCTCACATCAGAGACAAATTGATAACATTCAGTGCCCTCTGTTATACAGAACATCACACTATATGATATCATGCTCTCTTTTGGCCTTAAAAGCCTATACTATGTATTGGTGAATTCAATTGCAACATTCCCATTGACTTCAATGCTAGCATGATAGGTTTCTAATCAGTTACTCCTCAATTGTCTGCTCTAGCTATGTGACTAATATTTCTGCTGTGAAATCTGAATGATGAAATTTATTGAAATGTAATGAAACTGAAATGTAGTGAAATTGAAATTGAGAACAATGATATAAAACTGGGACAAACGCTTGGCTTTTAGAATAGTAGCCTGACTGAGTAGGAGGGTAGCTGCTATATCAACCATGACAGCAAAGGATGGTAATTCTTCTCAAAGAACACATTTTGCTTCTTGCCCAGGTTCACTTATATCCGGAGATCAGAGTGGACCGTTTGAAAGAGAAGGGTGAAATTAGCAATGGTTTGTTAGCCAGAGGAAGTGGTTTCAGTGTAATCAATTTAATTAACACTAAGTCATCAGAGAATTAATAGCTCTCCAGGAGTCTTGAACTGGTCACTGTTACGCTATCACCTTCCTGTCCTTAGCAGAAGACAGAGGAATAGATGCACCGTTTCCTGCCAGTAGCATATATTTTAACAGAGGTGAAAGGGCACCATCTAGTGGACTGAAAGTGATTGTATAGAGAATGGATGTAATTCTGGATCAATTGAAGTCAATGGGAATTTTGTCATTGACTTCAACAGGACCAAGAGTGTCCCCCAATGTTTCTCTGTATCATCTTAATTGAGTTTTAATAAACTCCTGTCTGCCCTTGCAGTGGCAGGACTCTGACAGTGCTCTTGTCATCCTGCTTTATGTGTGGCAAGTTAGGGCATTCTTGGTATTTTGGGGTTGTGTCTGGTAGTTGTACAAGAGGGTAGTTTGTGCAGTTTTAAGAACAGGCAACACATATACTTCCATAGGCTGGTTTAAATAGGGATACACCTCTCTCAAGAAGAGGATCAGATTAGATGCCCTCCCAAAGCCCCATGCAGCCCTACTTTTCAATGATTCTAAGACTCAGATCTCTCCTGGCAAAAGGATTCCTGTACATTGAAAGCAACAAGCATATCAGACAAAAAAACCCCCACCTATATTAATCATGATTCACTATCTGACAGGCCCACTCAACTACTCTCAAGGGCATGGCCTATCTCCTATTCAAAAAGAAAACTGCACTCCTTTTACTGAGATATCCAAGAAATCATCTCTTATAACAAATACTTCTGCATCTGTGCTGGGACTCTGCAAGTGCTCAAACACTGGAGTGAATAGACAGAAGAATGATCAAGCCAAAGGAAATGTCCTATTCCATTAATTCTTCCATATGACTGTTGGCATTCATTTTATTGTATGAATATGGGGCTGGAAGGGATAATCTAACTAGGAATCCAGGCTCCTACTGCAGACTGTTATGTAAGAGATATTAAATAAAAAAATCTAGAAAAAAAGATCTCTGCCTTTTATCCCACAAAACATCTCCCGGTGCCTTATAAAAATGACAAGGGGTTGTATGAAAGAGAACAGGAAGGCATTGCTAAAACCTTGAGCCCTGGAGTATTAGGTGAAATACACTCACAACTACTGTGAGCTGGACTGTTCTCAGTGGTGGCGAATGACAGAACAAGGAGCAACACTCTCAAGTTGCAGCAATGGAAGTTCAGGTTAGATATTAGGAAAAACTTTATCACCAGGAGGGTGGTAAATTACTAGAACAGGTTACCTAGAGAGGTGGTGGAATCTCTATCCTCAAAGTCTTTTAAGATGGGTCTAGACAAACCTTTGTCTGGTATGATCTAATTGGGCATAGTCCTGCTTTGAGCAGGGGGTTGGACTAGATGATCTCCTAAAGCCTCTTCCAAGCCTAATTTTCTATGATTCTACCCTTCCACACAGGCCACAGACTTCCCTATTGTCCAGATTAAAGCATGTCTTTGAAAAGATAACCAACTTGCCTTAACAACCCTCAACTATGACTAACACCCCAAGATCAATTTGTCTCATTCCAGCCTCCTACAGTGAGTGGATCCATTCACTCACAACCAGCATGATCAAGAAACCCCATACTGCCAGATACCCTCCTGACATTCAAGCAGTCATACATGCTGATCAAGTTTCCATTAAACCTTTGTTTGTTAATACCCACAATTGAGCATCCAAAGCCTGATGTTACAAGACAGTTTCCAGCTCCAGTATTACCCCTATTCTGTCCCAGAGTCCCTTGCATGACCTTAAAAAAAATTAACTGCCTACCCCTATCACTGTGTTTGAAAGGCTATCATAGCACTTCACTCCTTTCCATTTAGATTCCACCTACCATAGTTGGTGACACCACACCGTTGCATACCTTCCCGCCCCCAGACTAGTGGGTGCCTACAGGGAGGGGAGATGACTTGGTGACAGGAGATCTCCTGAAGCTTCTCAATGATGTGTGGGGAGAAGAAGGATGTAGAAAGCTTCCCACCTTAGATCTTATGAGGTCTATGCTTCCAAGACTTACTAGCAGTTGGTCCTGCATGAAGCCCTTCTTTGGCTTTCTGCAGCCCCAGATCTAACAGAGCAATTCTGGAATAAAAAAAAATAAAAATCTGTTCATTGTTTCTGGCCAAAGTGGGAAAAGATTGGCTTTCCAAAATGATAATATGCTATACTATCCAGTTCGACCTTGCCATCCTCTCCAAGGAGTGCTCACTGCCTGGAATTCTCCATGATCAATTGCTTAATGGTATCACTGTTGTTTTCCTGTCAGTATTTCATTGATGTGGGATGTGGACAACCTCAAGAGGGTTCAGAAGAGGGCCATTCATATGGTTAGGGGCCTGCACGCAAAGCCCTACAAGGGCCCTGGATCTCTTCAGCCTCCCGCAAGAGAAGGCTGAGAGGGGATCTTGTGGCTGCCTACAAATTCATCGGGGGTGGGGGTGGGGAAGGAGGGCAGCAAGGAATAGGAGATGTTCTGTTTACCAAAGCACCCCTTGGAGTAACTAGGAACAATGGACACAAACTGAAGGAGAGCAGATTTAGCTTAGACATCAGGAAGAACTTCTTTATGGTAAAGGTTGCCAGCATCTGTAATGGGCTTCCAAGGAAGGTGGTACTCTTCTCTACCTTAGAGTCTTTAAGAGGAGGCTGATCATGCATCTTGCTGGGGTTGTCTGACCCCAGCACTCTTTCCTGTGCAGGACAGGGGGTTGGTTTCAATGATCAGCTAAGGTCCCTTCCAACCCCAAAATCTATGAATCTATGAAAAAATTCATGTTCAAACTTTTCCTGAGGACAGGCTGACCTTGCTATCTGCTCATTTTATGACTGTAAGGTAGCAAGCAGTGCTGCCTCCTCCCCCACCAGTTCACCTACCTTCTTCAGCTGCTCTGTGGAGCCTTCTCAGCTCTTCATCATGATTCATAGTATTTCATAGATTTCATAGATCTCTAGGGTCCAAAGGGACCTATTAGGTCATAGAGTCCAACCTCCTGCTCTGGGCAGGAAAGAGCGCTGGGGTCAAGTAACCCCAGCCAGGTGCATGTCTAATCTCCTCTTGAACACCTCCAAGGTGTTAGATCCCAGGGGAGGCACACCTAGGCCAAGGGTTAGTGAGGAACTAGTTAGGGAACTTCTGGAAGGACTGGATGTATTCAAATCAGCTGGTCTGGATGATCTCCACCCTAGAGTACTGAGGGAACTGGCTGAGGTCATTGCGGAACCCCTGGCACGGCTTTACAAGCACTCGTGGTGCTCTGGTGTGGTGCCAGAGGACTGAAAGAGGGCCAATGTGGTTCCCATCTTCAAAAAAGGGAGGAAGGAGGACCCGGGAAACTATAGGCCAGTTAGTCTTACCTCGATCCTGGGCAAGCTGTTTGAAAGAATTATTCTGGCGCGTGTCCACGAGGGGCCAGCAGGGGAGATCATGCTTAGGGGCAACCAACACGGGTTCATTAGCGGCAGGTCCTGTCAGACCAACCTGGTGGCCTTCTATGACCAGATCACCAAATCCTTAGACGCAGGGGTAGCAGTGGACATAGTCTTCC